GGGGGGGGCAGAGGGGGAGATGGAGGGGAGAAGGAGGGGAAGGGAGAGGGAGATGAAGGGGAGAAGAGGGAGATATAGGGGGGGTGAGGTGAAGGGGGAGGGATAGGGAGTAGAAGGGAGGAAGGGAGAGGGAGAGGGGGTAGAGGGAGGAGATGAAGAGGAGCAGGGGGAGATGGAAGGAGGAAGGAGGAGGAAAAGGGGTAAGGGAGATGAGGAGAGGAAAAGAGGGGATGAAGAGGAGGAGGAGAGGGAGAAAAAAAGGACAGAAGATAGCGGGAAAGACAGAGGGGCAATGAACGGAGGAACAAGCGTGAAGGATAAGGACAGGGAAGAAAGAGAAAAATGGAGAGAAAAGGGAAAGCAGAGTGATGGAAGGGGAAGAGGGAGAATAAAAAGAATTTGAAGTGACAGACTGAAAGGAGAAGGAAAGTGAGGGAAGAGGCTCAAAGGTAGGACGAAGGGAGACTAGATAAAAAAAATAAGAATTGGAAGAGTAAGGAAAACAAGAATCATAAAGGAAAAGATAGCAGAAACTGACACACATAAACAACAGACGAAGAATAAACAAATACAGAATATCGTAGAGAAATAGTCAAATAGAGAAAACGTTAAAAAAAAGAGAAAAGAGAAAAAAATAACAGTTACAATAAAAACGACTTAGGCAAGAACTCCACACACATCCGGCGGCAACAGATAGGATCGCATGTAAAAATATAACAAAACAACAATTTAAACGGTTTGCGTCGTGTGGAGAAAATGTGTGGACGAGGGGGCGGTGGGGGGGGGAGGAAGGAAGTGGAGGAAAATGAGGAGGTGGAGGAGGAGGAGGAGGAGGAGGAGGAAGTGGAGGAATATTAGGATGTGGAGGAAAATTAGGAGGTGGAGGAAAATTTGGAAGTGGAGGATGATGAGGAGGTGGAGGAAACTTAGGAAGTAGAGGAAAATGAGGATAATTAGGGGTTGAAGGGGAATGAGGAGGTGGAGGAGAATGAGGAGGTGGAGGAAAATGAGAAAGTGGAGGAGAATGAGGAGGTGGAGGAAAATTAGAAGGGGGGGGGGTTAGGAAGTGGAAGCGAATGTGGAAATGGAGGTGAATGAGAAAGTGTGAGAGAATGAGCACGTGTAAAGAAATTATGAAATGGAATAGAATGAAGAAGCGGAAGAAAATAAAGACGTGGCAGAAAATGAAAAAAATGAATGAAAAATAAATTGGCGTAATAAAACCAGAATATTCACACAAAGAGAAATGAAATACACATCCCTCCAGCGTATCAACAATCATTACTATAACCAACCCCCATTGCAAGATCTTGTTGACTTAGACAAGGACATCGCCGCCGTGGTAAATCGACGTTGACAGATGCACGAGTAATAAGAATAAAAGTTCTTTAACACCGCAGATGACCTTTACAAATGATCTTTTTAAAACAGTCTATGTATAAAAGCTCTGGAACAAAGAGAAAGAGAGAGACATCGACATCAATCAAAGTTCAATGCCTTTTTTGTCGACATCAATTCCTATTAAACATTTGCAATACTTAAGTACTTAAGTTTGTGCCACATTAACCACAAACAATAGAAAAATACAACTCTTTTCTCTTACTTCTACGAACACTTTTATTTGTTCCTCGACTGCTCGGCTTACAACTTTAGAGAAGGAGAGAGAGGAAGAGAAAGAGGGTGTGGAAGAGGATGATGATGATGATGATGATGATGATGATGGTGATGGTGATGGTGATGATGATGATGATGATGGTGATGATGGTGATGATGATGATGATGGTGATGATGAAAATGTCGATGATGATGATTATGATGATGGTGATGATGATGATGATGATGATGATGATGATGATGGTGATGATGATGATGATGGTGATGATGATGATGATGGTGGTGATGGTGATGATGATGATGATGGTGATGGTGATGATGATGATGGTGATGATGATGATGATGATGATGGTGATGATGATGATGATGGTGATGCTGATGATGATGATGATGATGATGAAAATGTCGATGATGATTAAGATGATGGTGATGATGATGATGATGATGATGGTGATGATGATGATGATGATGGTGGTGGTGATGGTGATGATGATGATGATGATGATGATGATGGTGATGATGATGATGATGGTGATGATGATGATGATGGTGATGATGATGATGATGATGGTGATGATGATGATGATGATTATGATGATGATGATGATGATGGTGGTGAAGATGATGATGGTGATGGTGGTGATGATGATGATGATGATGATGATGATGATGATGATGATGATGATGGTGGTGGTGATGATGATGGTGGTGGTGATGATGGTGGTGATGATGATGATGATGATTATGATGGTGATGATGATTATGATGGTGATGATGATGATGATGATGATGATGATGGTGATGATGATGATGATGATGATTATGATGGTGATGATGATGGTGATGATGATGATGATGGTGATGATGATGGTGATGATGATGATGAGAAAGAGAAAGATGGAAAATATGGAAAAGTAGAGAAAGATAAAAAAAAACTGCGAACAGAAACTGGAAAAGGAAGAGAAGAAGAAGGAAGAAGAAGAAAAGAACAAGAAAAAGTAAAAAAAAAAAAAAAAAAACTAAATAAAAAATAAACCGTGTAAAAGGGAAACCGAGATAAAAGGGGAAGAGGAGAAGAGGGAGAGAGAAGCAAGAACCTGGTTCGTGTCGGAACACCTCACCTTTTGAGGAGCCAGCGGATGATAAGACAATAAGATAGCGGCGGGTTATGTCTGTACTTATTATATCAGTGCATGATTAACTCGAGGGTGGGAGGGAGAGAGGGGTGTGTGGAGGGAGGGAGAGGTGGGTGGAGGGGTGGAGGGAGGGAGAGGTGGGTGGAGGGGTGGAGGGAGGGAGAGGGGGTGGAGGGAGGGTGAGGGGAAGGAGAGGGGGTGGAGGGAGGGAGAGGGGGTGGAGAGAGGGTGAGGGGAAGGAGGGGGTGGACGGAGGGTGATGGGAAGTAGGCGTTGGAGGGAGGGAGAAGGGAAGGAGGGGGTGGAGGGGGTGGAGGGAGGGAGAGGGGAAAGAGGAGGTGGAGGGAGGGAGAGGGGAAGGAGGGGGGGAGGGAGGGGGGGAGGAGGGAGTGGAAGTGACAGGGAGGGAGTAGAAGAAGGTAAGAGGAGTTGGGGGAAGAAGGGAGAGGGAAAGGGGAAGATAGAAGAAAGAGATGAGAGGGAGGGGTAAAATAAAACAGAAAGAGAGAAGGGAAAAACATGAAACGATAAAGAAAAGGGGAAGAAATAGAGGAGATAGGGAGGAATGCAGAACAGATAGTGAGGAGGATTTGTATAATGATAAAAACGAAAAAAATAAAAGGGGTCAAGAATAGGGGAATATTAAGAAAGGGAAAAGAAGAAGATTGGGAATAAATTGGAAGGGAAGAATTGGCATGATTGGGGAAAACACCAAAGAAAGATGTGATGCTGATGTAAACAAAGAAACATGAGAAATAAGGAGAAAACGGCGCAATGGAAAAAAAAAAAACAAAAAAAAAACACAAGGAATAAAATTATATAAATAAGGATAGTAATACAATAAATAACAATAAAAAGCTAATTACCCAAACAAACGCGTAGCTCACCGCGCACCTTCCTTTCTCCCTCAGGAGGTCGAAGTGACCCGGGCGGTTCGCGAAGCCCTGGGCGGCGGCAACCTGCTCACTCCCTCAGACAACGCGATGCACCTCTTGGGCGTGCGGGTAGAGGAGCTTCGACACGGGCGCTACGTCTCACGCCCACCGCCTAAGCTGGCCAAGAACCCGCCCCTTCTGGTGGTGTACAGCAGTGACCCCAAGCTCCTCGACCTGGCCGCTGTCGGGACGCCCACGCTCAACCTGACCGTCAACGAGGTGCAGGCCGCCTACGGGAAGGCCGCCCATGGAAGGAACGCCCATCCTCACTACAGCCATCACCGCTACGCCCGTGAGGCCCAACAACATGCCCAAAAACGTGAGTACATTTTTTTTTTGTTCTTTCGCAACTGATTCATAAATCATGATAAGGCCATGACAGCTAAATTTGCAAAGGACGGGAACTGCGGTCTGATTCAATTAATTCGCTCAGCCAAGGCAGGCTTATTTGCACAAGGCTGAACCCGCTGCAATCTCTATCTCCGTCGGCTTAGTTGATAATGCATGTCGAAGGGATGCGCCGGGAGCGTGTAGATTGTAACAGCGTGAAATACACACATCCAGACATGCAGGCTTTGAGATACAGAGAAATGCACACATACGCGGATCAGAGACAGATGCGCACTCACAGACACAGATACAGACACAGACACACACACACACACACACACACACACACACACACACACACACACACACACACACACACACACACACACACACACACACACACACACACACACACACACACACACCACACACACGCACACACAGACAAGTCAAATACCCCAACACGTTTACAAAATGGGAAGAGAAGCGCAAGATGATAAAGACAAGACCGATATAATAATAGACGATAATAAGGACCAATAAATCATCTCGTAAATGGATGTACGAACCCGTTTTCTGTTATCGAAAACACGTCGTGAAGGGGTATCTAAATTATTCTTGTCTCGCTGATTGTTTATGATGTCAGAAGGATCGTCTTTTTCTCCTCGCTTCCTTATAAGGCGCTGCAGACGATGAAGTGTTTGAGCGTCCTGTTATTAATGGTCGCCAGGCTATTATGGCAATTACCGATCTCATTATCCTCGTCTTTATTAACGGATTCTAGCATTAAAGTCCTTATCTAGCTGATCCTTCCCGGCAAAGCCACGCACAAGCATATCAGCAACAACAAAAATCAAAGACAATAAACAAAGTGCACGTAACAAATTAATGACTCAAACAATTATTATTATCATTTTTTTTTAATCCGAGATAATCCCGTGTATAAACAATCCTCTCTAATCCCCAATTAAACCCATTATCAGGTGTCGAACGAGTGCGCAGGGCGGCGCTGAGCGAAGGGCCGTGGGCGGAGATGGGCGTGGCGACAGACCAGGACGAAGATGACGTCATCCCCGACTCCCATGCCCACGCCATCTTGACCAACGAACTCCCGCTGGCGACCTCCCGTGACCTGGAGCTACCTGAGGTGACCCAACGCGATCTTTCCTGCTTTTTTTGTTTGTTTGTTTGTTTTCCTTTCTTTTTTTTTTCCTCTTTTTTATTGTTGTGCGGAGACCGAGATAGATGAAGATTGATTGTGGAATTCTGAGTCCTGAGGCCAGAGGAATGTGAGCGCGATTGGGTTAGAGATGTGGCTAGATAAAGATGGATGGAGAGACACGGAGAAGGAGAGGGAAAGAGAGAGGGAGAGTGGGGGAGGGAGGGAGGGAGAGTGGGCGGATAGGAAGTGAGAGGAAGGGTAAGGGAGAGAGAGAGAGAGAGAGAGAGAGAGAGAGAGAGAGAGAGAGAGAGAGAGAGAGAGAGAGAGAGAGAGAGAGAGAGAGAGAGAGAGAGAGAGGAAAGACGTCTGGATGTACATTATCTCTCTCTCACTCACTCACTTATTCACTCTCCCCCCTCCCTTTCTCTTTCTCTCTCTCTCTCTCTCTCTCTCTCTCTCTCTCTCTCTCTCTCTCTCTCTCTCTCTCTCTCTCTCTCTCTCTCACACACAAACACACACACACACACACACTGTGTGTGTATATATATATGTGTATATATATATACACACACAAATATGTATGTATATATATATGTGTATATATATATACACACACAAATATGTATGTATATATATATATATATATATATATATATATATATATATATATATATATATATATATATATAGATAGATAGATAGATAGATAGATAGATAGATATAGATATGTGTATATAGATAGATAGATAGATAGATAGATATAGATATGTATATATATATATATATATATATATATATATATATATATATATATATATATATATATATATATATATATGTATACACACATATAGACAGACGCAACAAGTAAAAATACTAATAAATAGATAAACAGATAGAGAGAGAAAGAGACAGAGAGAAAAGGCAGGTACATACAAACAGTGAAATACCATCGCTGTATAATACAGAGCACAGATCACCCCCCCCCCCACCTCGCTCCCACACGCCAAATGAACACAGAGCTAACGAGACAGACGAAAGGCGAGGTGGAACGAAGTGGAAAAAAAGTGGAAGACGGCGTCCACTCCACCCCATGTGTGCCTCGTCCACTCCACGACCTGATCACTCCACCAATCTTCTTAAATGTTGTTTATATACTCTCAGCTGCGACGAAGGGAAGGGGAAAAGACAGGGAGAAAATGGATAAGGAGAGGGGGAAGAGAGATGAGGAGAGGGATTGAGAGGGATGAGGAGAAGGATGAGGAGAGGGATAGAGAGGGATGAGAGATAAGGAGAGGAGAGAGAGAGTTGAGGAGAGGAAAGAGAGAGAGAGATTAAAAGAGGGGAATACATAATGGGGAGAAAGGAAATAAAGATGAAGAGAAGGAAAAAAGAGATAGGGAAAGGGGAAAGAGGGATGAAGAGAGGGGAAAAAGGATGAAGAGAGGGGAGAGAGGGATGTGAAGAGAGGAAAGAGGGATAATAAAATGAGAGAGAGGGATGGGGAAAAGGGAGAGGCAGATGAGGAGAAGGGAAAGAGGGATGAGGAGAGGGAAAACAGGAATGAGGAGAGAGGAAAAGATGAAGAGAGTGGAAAGAGGATGAAAAGAAGGGAAAAAACAGATAGGGGAAGAAAAAGAGGGACGAAGAGAGTGCACAGAATGTGAGGAGAGGACATAGAAAGCTGGAGGGGAGAAAAAGGGATAGGAGAAAAGAAAGACGGATAAAGAGAGGAGAGGGATAAGAGAGGTGAAAGGGGGAGAAAGGAGAAAGAGATAAGAGGGGATGAAAGAAGGGGAAAGAGGGATGAGGAGATGGGAGAGAAGGATGGAAAAAGGGGGAAAGAGGGGATAAAAAAGAGGAGAAAGAGTAATGAATAGAGGAGAAAGAGGGATGAAAAGAGGGAAAAGAAGAGACACAAGAATAATGCGGAAGATGAATAGATTTACCGCATTTAATATAATACTAATGCATTATCTCCAACCGGTTGATAACGCTTTTTGTTTTTGTACATTAAAGTAATCTGTTTTTTTCTTTTTTGTTGCATATAATTACCGAGTGAGACAATAAACTAATGGATTAGTGTTAATGCATTTATGAAGTATTTAAATATTCGCTAGATATATCGGTCGCTCAAAAATATGCATCTGTTTATGTGACGTGTAGACAGCAACAGAGGGAAACAGACAGGCAGGGTGATCGATAGACAAATAGACAGACAAAGAGACCAATAATCAGGTGGAATGACAGAGGAATGCATAAATACATAAATATACAATATTTGCAAATATGAATAATCACAGCATGTAAAAATTATCTTAGG